CGTGTTAGCCAGGATGGTCTCGATCTCCTGACCTCGTGATCCACCCGCCTCGGCCTCCCAAAGTGCTGGGATTACAGGCGTGAGCCACTGCACCCAGCCTGCCTTTTGCTTTTTAACGCTGGAAAACCCAGGGGCTTCCTCAGGAGACACAGGCCCAGGTGTGGACCTTCTCTCCAAGGAGGTGGAGGGAGAGAGGGCCTCATCTCCATGGAGGGCTGGACGCCAGTCTGAAGGGCAAATCCTGAGCAATGGGAGTGCCATGGCCCCAAAAGCCCTGTGCCACTTGGGGCAGAGGGGGCCCCTGAGCCTCGGGACAGGGATGTAACAGGGACAAGGTGGGAACATGCGAGGCTGAGGTTGGTGCCTGGATGCCTCCGCCAAACTCTGCGAGACACAGCGGCCCGTGGGCTCCGGTATTTTACCCCAGTTCAGGTCCATCCATGGAGTCAGGGACCCACCTTGGAACCCACAGTGTCTGAGCGTTCTCTCTCATTCCCACCCGCTGGGCCCCAGCAAGGTCCCGTCCTGCCTCAAGTCGCGAAGGCTCTTATGAGACAGGTTCCGCCCCACACCCTGTCCTTCGTGCACCCCCGGGGCCTTCTCGATTCTGGGAGAAACCTCGGACATTGTTCCCTGGGAACCTCTCCCTAGTTGGCAAACGCTCACCAGTGGTTACCCTGAGGCAAAGCTGCCTCGGTGCTCACAGCACAGCCCCCTCTGACCCGCTCTGAAGCTACTGCCTTGACCTTTCCCAGGACTTTGATATTGGCAAAGTGTACAAGAAAAAGATCACGTTGGTAAACACCACCTACACGATCAACTACTGCAAGCTGGTGGGCGTGGAGGAGCACCTCCGGGACTTCATCTATGTTGAGTAAGAGGACGGCTCAGGTGGGGAGGGACGCGATGCAGGGACAGCAGGAGGTTCATAGCTCCCTTCATGTTCAGAACAGCTGGAACAGGCTCTGTCTGGGCATAAGCCCTCAGATCCGATTTTCACAAAGATTTTGTAGAGGGGGCTCCTCTGTCTTCTTGTGTCAAAGTCATCTGAGACTAAGCCCATTTCCCTTCACGAATGGCTGGAGCTTTTGCCTGGCTGCCCAAGTTTCCTTTTGTTTTTCTTTGTTTTGTTTTGTTGCCTTTTTTTCTTTTTTTTTTGAGATGGAGTCTTGTTCTATCGCCCAGGCTGGAGTGCAATGGCGTGGTCTCGGCTCACTGCAACCTCTACCTCCTGGATTCAAGAGCTTCTCCTGCCTCAGCATCCCTAGTAGCTGGGATTACAGGCACCTGCCACTACGCCCAACTAATTTTTATATTTTTAGTAGAGACGGGGTTTTACCATGTTGCCCAGGCTGTTCTTGAACTCCTGACCTCAGGTGATCCATCTGCCTCAGCCTCCCAAAGTACTGGGATTACAGGCATGAGCCACCACGCTCGGCCAGAGTTTCCTTTTGTATTGTTACGTTTTGATGTTGACCATTCTGATAAGTTTTCCCTGACAGCCAGTGTTTTCAGTGTCAAGGTGAAAGCTGTCTTCATTTCAGCACTGCTTCCTTGGACTATGGTTGTGCTTTCACTCTAACAATGTTTCCATTTGCTTTCTTGCAGACCTCACGTAGGTGTGTGTTGGATCCTCCTTGCTGGTCTTTCCTGTCTACTGTTTTCCTTCTGGTTGCCTTTAATGCTTTCTGCTTTCCTTTTCTTTCTTTCCTTTTTTTTTTTTCTTTTCTGGTTTTGTTTGTTTGTTTTGTTTTGTTTTGTTTTTGACAGGGTCTTGCTCTGTCAACCAGACTGGAGTGCAGTGGCACGATCTCAGTTCACTGCAGCCTCAATTTCCCGGGCTCCAGCAATCCTCCCACGTCCATCAGCCTCCTGAGTAACTGGGACCACAGTTGTGTGCCACTATGCCTGGCTAATTTTTCTATTTTTTGTAGAGACAGGGTTTCACCGTGTTTCCCAGGCTGGTCTC